TTCAGTCTGAGGCATCTGTGATTTTATAATCCAAATATTCTAATTTTTTAAAAGTAATTTATTTATTTTTATTTTACTTGCATTGATTTTTTTTTCTGCATGTACTTCTGTGTGAGAGAGCCAATTAGATACCATGTGGGTGCTGGGATATTGAACTTAGGACCACTGGAAAGCAAGCAGTCAGTGCTATGAACTGATAAGCCATCTCTCTAACCAGGGTATTCTAATTTTTAAAACAAAGCATGGTGATGTTCGGGAGTGGCTGATGCAAACTCTGCCAGCATGTAATGCTAGAATCTCCAATTGACATGCTGCTCTGAACTACCTTTCTATTGTCACAGATAGACACACAATGGAGCTCTACTCAAAATGAGTTCCCAGTGGCTGCTTTGCAGGTGCCACACTAAGCCTGTGTCACATGTCTGCCCTGCCTCCTGTCTAGAATCAGAGAACCTGGCTGCAGTATCCTACTGTGAACCTACCCTCACCCCCTTAATAAAAAGTGTAAGAAGAGCCTAGGTCTTCTACCATAGGGCAGCTGATGCTCTCCAGACATCCCTCCATTCAGTCTTCTCTGGTGTTGGGGCCTGAACACCCACCATGCTGTGCCCACTCTGTCTCTCTGCTTATTTATTTTAGAAATCTGATTCCAAATAAACTCCTTATTGCCCAGTAATCCCTCACAGTGTACCCCTGAGTCAACTCCCTCATCCAAAATCTGGCACATTTCTTCTGTAAAAGCAAAACAACACAGAGCAGGTCTGACTCTGTAACTGAGCCAGCCTGGCCTCAGATGCACATCAAGGTCCTGTCTTTCACTCCCGAGTGCTGGGATGACATCAAAACCATTATGCCAGGCTCTGGTACTCAGTCTCAATAATCCTTTATTACAGTCACAGCAATAAGGGGACAAAACAGACACCATACTTGATACCACTTACATGCCATAAGTTCCTAGATATATTCTGTTTACATTTGACAACACAACACAAGGTAAGATTACAGGTATCATTGTCATCATTATCATTCACTGTAAAATGGAAAATCACAGGATTTAACATATTTGATAAGAAACAAGTAGAGCCCACAACAATTATCTTCTCAAAAAATAAAAGTGAAAACTAAAAATTAATCACACATATCTACAACATATTAGAGTAGACCTGATGGCAGAATTCAGTATCTAACAGCAAGACATCAGGAAAGTGAAATCTTTGTTCCTCCCAGGTGACCATTTGTACATAGAACACCAGTCACGACATCTCCTCAGTAGTTAAAAGAACAACCATCTACTGAGTGTGCAGTGGGCAAATGATATGCATGGAACTTCATCTTTTTTAAAAAATACATAATTCAGTCGGGTGTTGGTGGCACACATCTTTAATCCCAGCACTGGGGAGGCAGAGGCAGGCGGATCTCTGTGAGTTCAAGACCAGCCTGGTCTACAAGAGCTAGTTCCAGGACAGTCTCCAAAGCCACAGAGAAACCCTGTCTTGAAACCCCCCCCCAAAAATTACATAATTCATTTTACATTTGTGTATGTGTGCCTGTGTGTACTGCAGCATGTGTGTGAACATAGAGTTTAATCTGCATGAATTGACTGCCTTCTTCTATCATGTAGTTTAAGTAATTGAACCCAAGCCACTGGATTTGGAGAAAAATGCTTTTATCCTCAGAGCCTTCAAACATATTTCAACTTTATTTTCTTGTACTGGCCATAGTATGTGTGCACTCTGCATAGTAAAATTGTAAAAAACCACAAACAATAAAAACCAAACAAACAAAACAACCCCCCCCAAAAAACCCCACAAGGCATAGGCTTTTCAGCATGGTATTCAGGGTTACACTGCTATGTGGAGTGGCAGGAATAGAACCAGGTACTCTTAACACACAGTCTAAGTGGGTATCATTGGAGATGTTTCAGCTTAAGTTTGATGAAGTACAAGCATTGTGGTTAAACTAAACTACCACTAAGGCTCATTCCTAGGCTAAAGACTCCTACATATAATTTTAAAACTAACAGTTGAGCTAGAAAAGAACTTTCTTTCATCTTTTGTAAGTGACAGAGGGATGGGGTTGTAGAGACATGGCAGAGCTGAGACAATTGGATCAGTAGCGGATAATGCATGCACAAGGCCCTGGCTTTCATCTGTGGCACCACAAAACAGGAGGTGGTGGGTACCAGAGTTTTTACCTCACCTAGTGAGGAAGATGATGAGTTACTATTGCCCTGTAGAAAGACAAGCAACTGGATGAAGGAAAAGAATCCATTACTGATTTGTATGAGAAGTGAAGATTATTGAATAGAAAGACCAAATGTAAGTGTCAGTGCTTACTTACTGGCCAAGGTCACCTGAATTGGCTGCAAGGAATGAAATCAGGCTTGGCTTGGAGGGGCCACAGCAAGACTGAAGCTGTGACAATTTTATTGAGAGAAATCAGTCATTTTACACCTTTATCAGAACAGATTGCAATGGTAATTTCCCAGATCAATATAGTTGCAGTTGCCAGGAAACAATGAAGGTTGAAAGTCATACAGGGTACACAAGATTAATGTCTAAATTCAACTGTCCTGTCAAGATTCCATGCTTCCTTGACTCCTAAGGGAATGTACAGAGAAACCTGAAATGGCCTGAACACTTCACTGCCTGAGGGAGTGCATTGGTCTCTCAAGAACTGGATGTCACATTGTACCCCAGGACACATGGAATCTAACCTGAGAAACCTATGGCACATGCTTCTCAAAGCAGCTAGGCCAAGGCAACTCAATGCTTCCCTGCACCCAAAGATAGAAAAAACAAGTTAAAATGATCCCACAGAGCTCAGGCATATGAAATATACCAGACATGGGGGCACTGTGCAGATATAGGTGAGGGTTTAGGAGGGTGGTCCACAGACTGTCATTGGCTGTGATGTTTCCATAGGATTAAAATATGGATAAACTGTATTAGGGAAGGAAGGGTCACAGAATTTATAGATGAGAGCTCCATGGTTGGAAACATCATAAAATGAGAGAGTGCAAGCTTCTCTGTCCAGGAAAACTCCAACACGATTGGGAGGATGAGTCAGAGAGAGGGCCAAGACACTGGCATTGTGGGTGACAGAGCACTCTACAAAGGCATTATATACAGACTTATTCTTCTTACCTATAACCCAGTAGCCATATTTAGGTTGAAAATTTACATGTTGTTTATCATGAGAATTATACATGATGCCCATTTGATTCATTGAATGAAGTTGGGGTTGAGCACATCTTCCATCATTTAATCCTAGGAGCCAGGCATCACTTCTAGACACGTCTACTTCCCAGTAATACTTCCCTGACTGGAAAGCTGGATATCCAAGGACACCTAATGCAAAGGTCTCATTATCTTGCAATTTTCTTCCATAATTATTTAAATATTGTATTTGTCTTTTTTCCATATCAATGAGAACGTTGTTATTGTACCCTTGACGCAGGGTTACAGGAACTGCAGAAAAATGATACATAGAAGTTAAGAGTCACATGAGAGGCAAGGTACAGCCTTATTTGTTATGTAAGGAGCAGAAACCTAAGGAGGAAGTGAGAGGGAACTTGGAAGAGCCATGTTTAAACTCAAGAAGAGATTGCTGTGTATATTGGCAGAAATAACAGGAAATATCAGGCTTAATGGAGATATAAACTCTGAAAGGCATAAAGAAGAGAGTGGCTTATGTTGCTGTATTTCTCCTTACCCCAGTGGCGTTGGGCATCCATGAGGCCTGAAATGATGAAAATTCACAGAATTAAATGAAAGCAAGGGAATCAAAACATTAAAGTCGATCTCCTCTGCAGATTAGGGGAAAGATTGTAAATTGTAATAAAGGACAGGATGCATGACGATTTCCCATTAAATATGATGACATCACTGGGACACACTATCTACTCTTCTGAGTCCCTCTACCCATTTGCATAAACATTACTCACTTTGCAGATAGTGCAGTCCCAGCCACTGATAGAATCCCCCAGTTAACTGCAGAATGCAGCTCCTCTCACCTTGAAACACTTGCAGCATGCCTTTCACATCTGGAGCTCGGAAGATACTTCTCTGTTTTCTTGGGATCATTGTGGGTAGTGTCACTCTTAAGGTCTGACTCCTAGGGACAAAACATTGACCTCCACATCTCAGACAGTGTATCCTTTGACCACCACTGACTCCTCCTCACTCCCTATTATTCGAACTCTAGATGGTCTGGAATGCTCCAGAGAATTCCAAGAAGGGAAAGAGAGGTTAGACTACTAACTCTGTAGACATGTGAGATATACTCTTCACTCCCTGCTCACCACTTACTTGTTGTGTGATGTCTTACTCCCCAGCAGTCAAAAACTTGCTCCCCCACTCTCCCTTCTAGCACTCCTATGTAATGATTAATTACTGAGTTTTAAACGAAATCAATATAAGGTAGCTAAAAAATGATGTGTGGGCTGGGCATGAAGTCACAGGCATATAATCCCCGAACTTAGGGGGTGGAGTCAAGAGGATCTCTGAGTTCCTGTCAGGCGGGTACACAGAGTGAGTTTCAGGCAAGCCAAGGCTACCCAGAGAAACCTTGTGTGAAAAACAAATTAGAGAGAGAGACAGAAAGGAAGAAAGAGAAAAAAGAAAGAAAGAGAGAAAAAAAGAAAGAAAGAGAAAGTTGGGTTTTCATGGACAGTCTAGAGTAGGTGATTCAGAAGCTGCTCCTGGGTAATAGGGTCATGGAGTATGAGAAAACCATTTAGAGAAAGCCAAGATCTCAAGCACTTTTGTCAATATGGACACTCTTGCCATCTTCTGAATCTTCAAGTTTTTTACGATGACAATTTTAGCCTAGATGGAGCACCAAATTAATCATAACATGAGCCCCATATGTTCAGAACCAAACTGATGCCGACAGCCTGGGTATGACTCTTTACATACAAGGGCACAGCTTTCTAGTCTTCTGAAGTGTGTGGCTCATGTGGAACAGCTGTGCCCACAGACTCAAGTCTGTTTGTGAAAAAGCTAAGTACAATGACAAAGGAACTCTGGGTCTCTTCCATCCCCATAAGAAACATACAGATACCTAGGAATTTTCCCAATACACAATTCTGCCAACATTGGAGACAAAGAAGACACACTCTAGCTAGGATGAATCTATGAATCAAGTCATGTTAACTGCAGACAGAGCCAGACACAAGCACACTGTGGACAGAATGAGGAACCACAGGGAGTCTGAAAGCACCTGTGGCTTCATATGCCTCATCCCACTGCTGAGTCTAACTCTGGGGCTCCCCATTACCCAGTCCCCTAAAGGAGAATCAATCTGTTCTCAATAGTTACAAAACAGCCAGACTCTGCCTTTCCCCTCCCCCTTTTCCTTACTGCATCTCCAGAATAACATTTGTCTAAATCCCCCAAACCCATGATACTTTTGTTCTAGATGGACAATAGATCATTCTCACCACTGAAAGGTTCAGGCATTATGCTGGCCTGCCCCTGTTTCCTGGCAGAACAGGCAGTACCCTGGTCAGCCCAGGTTTCCATGGGAACTAAGTCTGAATGCAGGTGCAGAGGATCCCTTTAAAAGACAGACCCCTGCCCATTTACTCTCTCTCTCTCTCTCTCTCTCTCTCTCTCTCTCTCTCTCTCTCTTCTCTCTGCTCTCCTTCTCTGCTCTTCTCTTCTCTCACCTATACGATGTCTCTTTCTCTATGGTGACCGGCCATGGTGGTCAGCCATTTAACCCTGCTTCTCTTCTCTCTTAGTCTCTCTGCTCTGCCGGGCTTATAATAAACTAGTTAATATGTCTAATATGTCTCATCTTGAGCCTCGTCTTCTTCTTTATTTCTAATTTAAACAAAAATCTAACAACCACACACCCAATCTTCCCTGTCAACCCACACATACCTTGTTAGGACAGATTTCACACCCTAGGGAGGAGGGAAAAAACACAGTCAAAACATGTTCTGCATGTTCTTGTGCATCCTGGTCACACTCTCACTGGCTGCAGAGACAAAGTCAAAAGAGAAGCAAGCCAGTCCCATTCTCCCCCACCCCCCTGCCTCAGTTCTCCAAACATGATATAAATACAATGTATGGCTCTTTACTTGACTTACATGTAAACTAACAGACTGTTTTCTGTCTCATACTACAAGGTTTTGGAGACCAAAGATGAATAAACAATAGTTTGAAAGCTTCCATAGGTTTTGCTGTGTGTACAACTAAATATATAAACATACGACTTTTTACTTGCTCCATGTTAGCTTTTTATTACCTTACTTGCAACTAACATGTCTGAGAAGCTGATTTCGAAATTATTTTAATCAGTTAGACACAATTAAGAAAAATTAGTAATGAAGAAGCAACAAGGACCAGAACCTTAGATTATCACATCTCCTCTCTCTCTCTCTCTCTCTCTCTCTCTCTCTCTCTCTCTCTCTCTCTTTTCCGTGTGTGTGTGTGAATAGTCCTGGCAGGAGAAGAAATTAATCTAAAGAGAAATGTGTTCTTTCTAGTTGACAAACCATTTAAACAATGACTCTCATCCCCCAAATGGTAATTTCTCCAGGAATCTCATACTGGGAAAGGAAAACAACTCAAGCCTGAGGGAGGGAGAGCTAGCTTCCTAAACAGTTTCAAGCAGTTTTAATTACTTGCCAGTCCACTTTAAAGTACAAGTCTGTACCCCAGATCATGATGGGAGAATGATGGCCAGGACCACACCTTGACTTTGACTACTCACATTTGCAAATATTTTGCTCTCTATTTAAACTTTGATCTGTCTTAGGGAAACTGAAGATGGACGGAGCCAGTTTTCAAATCTTTGTCCATCTTTGAAATGCAGCCAAATTAATAAATATCCCTTTTCTGGTTTCTCTCTCTCTCTTTTTTTAAAAGATTTATTTATTCTGTATACAGTGTTCTGTCTGCATGTATCCCTGCAGGCCAGAAGAGGGCATCACATCTCATTACAAATGGTTGTGAGCCACCATGTGGTTGCTGGGAATTGAACTCAGGACCTTTGGAAGAATAGCTGGTGCTCTTAACCACTGAGCCATCTCTCCAGCCCCCCTTTTTCTGTTTTCTAATATTACCTTGATTCTTTAATATGGGACACATATCAAGACTTGATCCACCAGATCCACTTCGATATGTTAGGTAGGTACCTCAGTTAGCCATTTATCCTGGGTTTGAGACTAACACTATGCAAGTATTCTTGCATGTTTTGATTTCAATGGATATTGGTAGATTTCAGTAAATTTACATTCCCTATCTGCTAGCAATTACTAGGAGCTCCTTGGGGCTGGTTGTACTTCCTAAGGAAGCCCACTTTCCACAGTGGAATTTGGTGTGGTTTAGGTTTGCAAAGGTCTTGGGTTTAGTGTGACAACCGATTGTAGTTCATATGTGCTGCTGCTAAGCTTTGTCCAAAGACACACTGTTTTCCTTGGAGACCTTTATCACCTTTGGCTCCTACATTCCTTCTGCCCCTTCTTCTATAATTATCCCTGGGCTTTTAATTAGAAGTGGTGTTGATAAATTCCATTTAAGCCTAGACATTTTGTAGTATCTTACACTCTCCACTTTGGCCAGTTGGGGGTTTCACTATGTACCCTTGCTGTCCTGGAAATCACTATATAGTCCAGGGCTGGCCATGAACATGTGTAGCTTCATTTACTTCTGCATTCCAACTGTTGGAATTAAAGGAGTGAGCCAGCACACATGGCTGTAAGTTGGGAAGCTTATATATCATTTTCATTATTTTGTGCTTCTCATGTTTCCCTGTGTGTATATGAGAAGCTCTCAAGTCCTGGGATCACAGACCATAGATACTTCTACACATGGCTTTATTTTATATAACATAAAACAACAACAGTAGATCCCATAGTAAAAGGAATTCTGGTGATAACTAATCATTCAAGTTATAGGTGAATTCTGATGCTCAAACTTCTCATAGAGACATCTGTCTGATCATATCTATTGAGTCATTATCATAGCAGATAAAATAGAGACCACTGGAGAAATAATCAACAGAGGAATGGATCAAAGTGATATCGTGAGCATATATGTTAAGATATTATGTATTCAAAGCAAGAATTATTGCCATTTGTGGGAACTAAGCTGCACTCAGAGAATTTATGTAACACTAAACCAGCTGTGCACAGGAAAAAACAACACAAAATGTTACCATTTAAATATGTGTCATGTGAAAAATTGATCTCACAAAAGTAAAGATTAGAATGTGTGACATCGGGGCTAGAGGCAGAGAAAGGCGGGCAGATTCTTTGGTCACGAAATATAATTTCAGGCTTGTAGAGTATGGTGGTTATAGTTAGTATGTATGTGAACTACCTTGGTTTAGTCTGTATGGATAACTCCGTCTAGTAATGGTGATGAATGAGTGTTCTCAGTAACAATTAAACCAACACAATGGAAACCAATAAATTAATATAGTGTGAGACGTACCTAGACTACCAAGGTCTATAACATTGACAATTGAAATAAAAGAAACAGATTCCTACTGAGATATTCATCACCAGATTTTGACTTTGGTTTAAATTATTTAAAAATGTGATAGAGATGAAATACAATACAAACTTTACACCTGTAAGGATAACAAAGACAACTTTCATCTCAGAAACTCAAGAGAGTGGCAGGACAAACTTTCTGAGATCTTAGATGGTAACTCCCTCCCACTGGCCACATCACTGGAATCAGAGGCAGTGGGGTGAAAGTCTCCAAACATCCCAGGGGAGAAACAATCTTTATTAATTTCAGGTGCAGCAATAATGATAGTTGAAAATGTGCTTCACACATTCTCAGCATTACACCAGGGTAGTAACTACCCATGACCAACCAGATCTTCTCTACAGGGTTAAGGTTCTGTACTGTACTTGATAAGCTAAAAAATGCAATTTCCCCCTGCCATGCATGCATACAGTGATTTCCCAGCCTCTAAAACTGGCTCAGGAAAGAGTTCAGGGAGGGCACAGTGAGCTCTACTGCCATCAACAGGAAGATCACTGCAGCACAGAGGGAGGGAAATGGCTTCCAGGTCTCCTGACTCTCAGATGCTGGGATTTCCTGCAGTCTTACCTGCAGCATTTCTATGGTTGGGAAGTGCAAGTGATGCTGCATATCTGAGATGAGGTCTCTCACTGCCTCTCTCTGCTTCTCCAGCTCATTTTGAGACTCTGCCAGGCTGTTCATAACGTCTTCCTTCTCCTTCATCAGCTTCTGCAGCTCACTCTTCTTCTTGGAGTCCAGGAATTCCCACAGTCCTTCAAATGCCATCTGAACATTTTCTTCCTCACTGTGTATTTGGTTCTTGAGGCATAAGAAAGGGGAGAGGAATTCAGACTGTCCTGATGGGACTGGAGGACAGAAAAACACTGTTGTGATGGGGACTTCTCACAGGGAACTGAGTTTGGGGAGGGAAGGGAGTCTTAGGGAAGCATGTGTCTCCTTCAGGGTCTGTTCATGACATTCAAAAACAAAGATCTTAAGTCACCTTTACCAAGGCCACCTGAGCCAAAGTGGAATGCCTGGGTGTCTTTCAGTGTTCACACAGCTGTCCCAGACTATTCCTGCCTGTAATACTCCTCATGCTACCTCTGAACCCTCAGATAAGCTAACCCCAACAATAGGTCTGTGACTGTTGCCAAGTATCTTGCCAACAGTTATAGTTCAAGAACACACCACAGGAGTAAAACCCAGGACTCAGTGCCCATTCTCACCAGGTCCCTCCCTGGTGTCAGCTCCTCACATAGCCAGGCTCAGTTGTGATGCACTCACTGTTCAGTCCCAGCTCCACAAAGGGAACAGGTAGAGAGGACTAATCAAGGCCCCCCTGGCCTCATCAACTACCTGGGAATGAAGAGCCAGGGAGCTTCTTGCCCAGATCCCTCCCAGGCATCAGGTCCTTAGGAAGGTTCCCCACTTGCCTCCCAGTAAGTTCTCTCCTTTTGAAGATAATCTTCCCATTCATCACATCTTTTCTCATTTGCCATCTGTGTCTGCAGAGCTGCCTGGAGCTTCCCCTGTGAGAGAAGAATTGTAGCAGAGTGAAGCTGTGTGCTTAGTAGGACTATTGTTTTAAGCAAACACCACAAAAACCCTTGTGGAAAGAAAGGAAGTCTAAGACTGTTCTCTTTTTACAAACTTTTGCCATGATTTATGCACATAAATCATGTAAATCTGCAGACTCCACCTCACTCAATTCTTGTCTTCCTATATACACAACCCCCATATACACAAAGACACAGAACTCTTAGTCAGTCATCCTACCAAATAGAAACCTGCCCCATGCACATTTTCTTCACTGCTGTGTGTCATTCGTTTACTAACCCCATTGTTGATGGTCACTAGATGGATTTTAGGTAGAATGAGTGAGTCTGATATTGACATGGAAAAAACATAAATATGGAATAAATTAGCAGTTCTGCTCTTGGCTTTTCTTTGTCATCCACTCAACTTTACAGGGACAGTTATAAAACTATTTTGTTTATTTCTGTAGTCCAGACAGATTCTCATATGATTAAGTGGAATAAATCATCATGTCTTTTTAGAACTCTAAAGGTAAGAAAGGATGAAATGATACAACAAGCCTTGAGTCTATGATGTCCCAGTAATTGACCTGCCACACCAACTGGAGATTTCCCAAGTGTTTCTGTCTCCTGCTCTGTGTCCCACACCTTCCCATTTCTTACACTGTACTTAAGGGCCACCTCTTCAATGAGAGCTGTTTGGTGACCATGGTGATCCTGAGATCTCTCACAAAGCCAGCAGATGGCCACCATGTCCTTTTCACAGAAGAGCTGGAGTTTCTCTCCATGTTGTGCACAGACAGTGAGCTTTTGCTCCTCCTCTGGGCTGGACTTGAACCCCTTGAGCCTCTCCACAATGTTGGCCACATGTCGATTAGGCCTCAGATTCCCAAACATATACGTAACACGGCACACAGGGCAGATGCCCTCCCCTTCATTGACTTTACTAGACTCATAGTTCAGTGTGATGCAGGCTCGGCAGAAGCTGTGGTCACAATCTGCAATCACAGGTTCCTTCAGGAGCTCCAGGCAGATAGGACAGGTCACCTCCTCCTTGATCATCATCAGGACTGATGAGGCCATTGTTGCTGTGATTCTGGGTCTGTCTGTCTTGACTCCTGACACTCTGCTCAGATACTTGTGTAATTTCGATGAGGAAAAGGGGGACCAGAAATATGGGAAAATCAGGATGGACACTCCAGGGATGATGGAAAACCCTCAACTATAAAGGAAAAGAACAAAGGAGAGAAATATAGAAAGAAGTTTAGTGACATGGCAAAGGAAACATTTTGTCATACTTTCAAGTAGTCTATCATATTTCATCCCAAATGACAAATTTCAGATGCAGGATTGTCATTTCTTTTTAATGAAGAGCAGAAAGGAAGTGTTTCCTTCCAACAACCTCATGTAACCTACCTTCTATCCTTCCCTTTCTTTCCCAGAACACATCTTTAATTAAAAGCATCAAAAATTCATGTCTCAGCCACTGGACTCCCTCCTTCATCAGCACCAGCCAGTAGAGTGACTCTCTCTGATCCACTCCATACATTTTCTTACCAGAAAGACTGGTGATGACCTGAAATGTACACAGTCCCATCTTTGATGCACCTAGGCAATGATTTCTCTTATGCTATTTAATAAATGACAACATATGTGTTTGCACACATGATAAGTTAAGCTCTGAGCAGATGTATAGAGATGGCCACTTACAAGGCTCATTTGTCTTCAATCCACTGAAAGGGGACGAAAACTGAAGGGTCCAGGACTATCAAAATATAAAATAGTAAGCAAAAACACATTTTGGAAAAAATAATATAAAACTGGCAGCTAGTTAACCTTTAACAACCACTTTCTGCCTTAAGAGGAGACATCTTAACCTTTAACAACCACTTTCTGCCTCAAGAGCAGACATCCTGGCAGCCACTGTGTACAGAGGTAAACTTTTAACAATTGTCTCCTGTCTCCCAGCTTCCCAGCTAGGCAGGTACGGCTGACAGGGTTAGCTTCTGACTATGCCTCTGTGGGACCCTCTGTGCTATATTTCCTTAAATTTTAAGTGTCCTATGTGACTCTACTCTTTGTCTTTCAGCAACAGTACAAAGAGGCTCCTAACTTAACATCCTATAAGCAAATGCTGTAAAACTTAAAATGTAATATGACTTTAAGCCTGACCCTAAGGTTGTAAAAGCTCTTTGACCATACCTGGTGCTTGATTTTAGTATAATAAGAGACCCAAAACCATTCCCCATTTCCTCAGTTTCAGAAGCTTGATCTCTGGTTGTGGTCCTACTTAACTGTTAAGCTTTTTATGGCCTGAAGGTTTTTTTTTTTTTTTTTTTTTTTGTGAGGTGGAGGAAAAAGGTTGCTTCTGATTTTATAGACTTTGGTGATCTTTCCCCCACTACTTTCAAGTTTCCCAGACCCAACATTCTTGGTGCCCAAACGTGGGACTTGAAACCTTTCTGGTTTTTAGGAGTGGGGGTATCCCACCTCTGGCATACTTTATTCTACTGGTTTTGGCCAACTGGTATGCTTTCTCTGGTTTCTGGTGTCCACACTAAGGAAGGGTCAGTATGAAGCTGAGCCACCAAAGATCTCTGAGCTGGGGGGGTGTAGGACACTTCTACCCCTCTTCTGGCCATTGGGTTGTTCATCTGTGGCCTTTTGGGACTAGTTTGGGATTCTCAGGTCCCTGGGCACAGCATTTTTCCTTCTGTATGTCTCCTCAATCTGTTTGATTGTCCTGTTGTCTATAGTCATTCTCTTTGTGGTGACTGTCAGTAAATTACTATCGACCCTGGGCTAAGGTTCCTCTGAGCCTCAGGCCCTTTCTGATCATGTTCTCTCCTTTACAGGATTTCAGGAATTGCAAAATAGTTTTTGGCCAGCCTTCCCTGGCCCTCTACACTCAGGAGTCCAGGCTCCCCAAGACAGTAGAGTGGTCTCCCATCTGTTGGAGCAGTGCTGGCAGCCAGGGAAAGGACTGTCCCTCACCCATGGATATTGCAGCCACTCACTGATATCACAGTGCCAGCTGGAATGCCAATGATAAGCCTGGCAGAGGAGGGTAGACATGACCAAAAGCGTCTGCAAGGCCAGACACCAAAGTTGTTCACTGCCAGACGCTTCTACTGGACAATGATTTTTTTAGATCCCACATAATGACACATGCTGCAAGGCTGCACAGAGAGAAATACCAGGGCCAAGTAGTGGTGGGAGCAGCCCTATCAGGAAAGGAGGAAAATACAAGCAGCCTGCCCATCCCCCATCTTTAGCCTAAAAATTCACCTGGATAAAGTAAGAAAAGCTTTGTATGGTTTAAATGCATAAATATGGCCACTGAATGCTTATTTCTAAATGCATGACTCAACCATACTCAATACATCCTGGCTTCAGCCCTTACTGCCCAAACTTAAAATTTAATTCTGGATGCTCTGGTAATTAGATTTGATATAATAGTTAAAAAATACGGGCTGGAGAGATGGCTCACAGATTAAGAGCACTGACTGTTCTTCCAGAGGTCCTGAGTTCAATTCCCAGCAACCACATGGTGGCTCACAACCATCCCTTATGAGATCTGGTGCCCTCTTCTGATGTGCAGATATACATGGAAACAGAATGTTGTATACATAATAAATAAATAAAATCTTTAAAAAAATAATATCTTAAAATTATATTCTATGTTATTATCTCATAGTTGTTGATTGCTCATTGGATATGCTTTAACATTTATATAATTTGTAACAAAATTTGGCTTTAGACTTACAACAAAGGGTTTATAATTTAAAATGTTCCATGCAATATATATATATATATAGTTGAACTATAGTTCAGCTCCTGTTTAAGATATATACATATATATATATATGCAGATATATGACCTAGATTTAACTCTTTCATACATATAAACATAAGCTGGATTTAATTATGTGTATATGTGTATATATGTGCTCACAATTTATATCCAATTGTTGTTTAAAAATATATTATATAACACTTCTTAGTCTTAATGAGTTCTCAGTGCTTGTGTCTCCTTCTATACTAAGAAAGCAACAAGTCTCAAATGTTTTGGATTGGTATGAACCTTTATATGATGATAAAACTATTTGGTGAGATCTGTTTCAACATACTGTATATGGTGGATATATGATCTAAAATATTCTTTATATGGTTATTAAAAATTTAAAGTTATACAGATCTATTCAGAGTAACAAAAGCTAACTTATAGATTTACTCCTAAAAATTTGTGTTTGCCAAATGTTCAACACCAAGCTTCTAGAGAATTAAGATAAATGACAACATATATTTGATAAATAAAATATTTAATAAATAAGATATGTATTCTATAATAAAATGCCTGGTCCCTCCCGGAGGGTTCTTTTTCAGAGTTGGGTATTTGGGCAGAGGCCCCTAGGGTCTGTTTAGGGCAGTGCTGGCCTCTGGCCTCACTCAGTCCTCAACTCACAAGCCCCTTTTCTCCTGTTCCCATTTAGCCTGGGATCTTTCTCTTGTCACCTTTCCTACCTTCCCAAGAGACAACCTTAACAGCTTGGTACAAACTTGTTCTGTTTTTACTCACAAAATGTCTATTTTGATTTCTTTACTGAGCCCATTATTTATGATTAAAGGTTTTTATTTTGCTACTAAAAGAACTTCAATTCAAAATCAGTCTTTTTAAGGCTAATCCTGACAGGAATGTAATGTAAAGTCCTAGTCTTATGGAAGCTGTCAACCTATTGTAGACTGTAGAGGAATACAAGTTAAGAGTCATATTATAAATGATCAAACTCTTTAATTGTAGTCATGCTTAGTACTGATATAATTAATTATAGGGTTCTTACCTAGTCCCCTATATATCTTCAGAGTAACTAGAAACAAAGTTTGTCCACTCAGATATACCTAATAGATGGACAGTCCTCAAATGTTCAGAGATCTGCAGAATATGGCATTTAAAATGTTTAATTAAAAAGCTTTTCATTATAGAGAGACATGCCAGCTCCTGGCTGCACCCCTATTTCCTCTAAAGAAGATGATGGACACAGAAGAATCTCCACCCAGAACTTGCTTCAAGGTTAGTTGGCAACACCAACTACTGAGCAAAACCTGCCTTTCACTCAACTGCTGCCCAGACCTCTTCAGACCGTGGACAACAGGACACTGGGGAATCGACTGCCTCGAGTTGCCTAGTCAAAGGTGGGCTGGTCATCCCACAAGTTCTTAGGCCACACACACAAAAAAAGTCTGTTGGACATTCTGGGGCCTGGCAGGACTAGACCTAGATGGATGTTACCCTGAGACCTCTGCCCACAACAACCATGGAGGACCCTGGAGTAGTTATCTAGATACCCAGCAAGTAAATCTCTGTTATTTTCAATTGCTAACTCAGGTAAAATTTATCCTGCTCAGAACTCCCATGCTGTTTGACAACTAGGCTAGCGGTAGCTTTGTCAAAAAAAAAAAAAAATTAACAGTAGCAACCAACGCTTCATCTGCCTTCTCAGTTCTCTGTATAAAATTCAGGTCACAGGCCTCACTCTTCTAGAGTTAATACTAGCATTGGACACAAACAGATTTCAGTGTAACTTTTTACCATTCTTTTGTGTAAAGGAATTTACATTGCAGTGACTGCTCTCAGTGGTCAGCCACCTGTATTTACTGGTGAATTAGATAGAAGGTGCTTTAAGTTTGTTTATATGAAGAAGGTAGGAAAGCTTAATTGATGACAAGGAGAAAGAAGATTTAAGATGTATAAAAAAAAAGAAAACATATTCCAGATTCCTTTTTCTCGCTATGTTACTGTCCATAACCTAAACACTAACTGATGAAATCCTGATAAGCTGTTAATCTGGCTCTGGCGGAGTATTAACCATTATACTATACTGCTGTATTATCATAGCAACAGGCTCAGTCAGGATTTTAGATTCCTTTGGTTGTTTTCTAACTATAGACTTAAAAGGTGCTTTTCATTGTGTTAAAAATGTCTGTCACAGTTTTATAGAGAGAAGAAAGAGTGTTAATGCTTTCAAACAGAATCATTTCTGGCAAGAGTATACTCTCATTTCTAAAACATGAATTTAAATATAGGTTTTAAACAATGGACATGTTTACGTGTCTAAAACTTACATCTTTTCACAAACTCAAAGAGTTCAAGTAAACTTTAGAGAACTAAGACAGTCCTAAGATTTACACCCACTTCTCACAGATGAAAAGGACTCCAGGTAA